GCGGAGGCGGGAGGCCGCGCGAAAATTCTACTATTATGGGAGCTTTTGCAGCAAGGTTCTCCATGTCACACGAAGTATCATTCCAAATTGCATGGAGCTTAGGATGCCTAGGCACACCGTCTCACAGGCGAGGACATCGCAGCCCGCCTCGACAAGCGCCTGGACATTCAGCAGAGCTCTACACAGGGAACTGAGCCGTAAGCAGCACGGCAGAAGCTCTGCTGCTCTGAAACCGCCACAAACGTTAGTACTCTTTTTAGGCACATAGCCACGCATCAACGTCGGCCCCTGCTGCTCTCAAGGAACTGGATGTAGGCCCCCAGACTTCTGAAACAACTCTTGAGGCATCCACTTCGCATCCCTCCCTGGACCTTGGCACGTGGCCTGTGCCAGGCGATGAGCTTTTCCTCGTCCATGCCTTCCCACAACTGCGGGCATTCTCCCCTTTCTCATGAAGATTCCCAATGAAACGTGTGCACATGAGGTGCGTCAGCAGGAAGCTCCAAATTCAGAACGCTCAAATTCACGAAGGGCTTGAAGCTGCATTCAGGTTCTAGGAGCTCTCGGCACTGACCCAGGAAGCTACATCTTGTGAACTGGCTGCCTGGGAAGTCGCCAGTGTACTCCGCGCCATTATGCAGCCTAAGGCACTTCTACTCTAGTGGACAACTCAAAAAGCTAGCTCAAGGAAGCTATGGCAGCTGTAGATTCTTGCCGGAATCCAAAACTTGCATGCTGTCATACCAAAACTGCTTAACTCTCTTCATGTCTTTGTTTCTGGGGGCCAAGCGAGGCACCGTAGCTGCCGACGCTACCAGCCACCAGCGCATTGGGCGGAGCCACCTCTCCTCTGGCGGGCAGGGGATTATAAAAAAAAAACGTCACTTCCACGTAGAGCTTCCCTACGCAAACTGAGGGGCAAAATTGCTGGTGTGCAGAACTAACCCCTGACAACCTGTCGTCAAAGATTGCAAAAGCCTTGCACGGTTTGGGCCATCGTGTACAGGGTTCTTCCCGCTTCGGGAGCTGGCAGCCAAGTCTCGCGCCAGCTGAACCGATCGCTTCATCGCACTCACCGCCTTGTGGGCGTTTTGAGATGCAAAGAAAACGGGGAGACGTTGTGCCAAGGAAGCCATCGAGCTGGCAGCTTTTCAAAATATCATTTTGCCCGGCACCATTCCCAGACTTACAAACCTTTCACCCTGATATGATCCCGAGCTGGCCTCCTCCTCGCCGAACCCGAGCTCCCGGAAGCCGTCAAAGTGGGCCTGAAAGGTCTTGAAAAAAGTGACCATGCCTGAAAAATGTTTAAATTGAATTGGCCCTGGAATGTTGAATGCCCAACAGTATCACAACTCGGGGACAGAGACCAAGCTGTTGCATCTACAAACATGCCTTGAAATTGTCAGCGCATGAACACAAGCTGGTGGCCTGGTATGAGGCTGTAATGGCAACCGCTGCACCTTGTATGGCTCACACTTCAAATCTACCATGACGACAAGATTTCCTCTTTTTAAAGATTCTTGAAACTGGAATCCAGTTCAGCGCAGAATCATCCAGCATTAGCTTGACATCTTCCTCTTGCACGGTAATGTACACTATACTCGCCATGGGCATTTGCCATTATTGGAGGTCTTCTTGCATATCTTCGTAGGGCCCAGACCAGCTTCATAGTAATCCGCATGCGCCTGCTTGATGACCTGCGGCTTTTCTTGCATGCACGGAGGTTCTGCACGATATCTTGCTTACAGAGTTGCCGTGCTGAAGCCCGGCAAGAACCCACCTTCGGCTTAGTTGGCCAAGCATGTCATTGTTGGGCCAAGGCTTTTCCAAAACAAGCTTGTCAGAGTCATTCACAGATCAGCTCGCCTAATTACTGTGCTTGCTGACTATCCAGTTACCTCCAGACAGAGAGGCAAAAACACAATGCATGCTCAATTCGCCCCCCGGACACCAAGCAGGCCTAAGCTGGGCTTCCGGGCGGAGGGATTCTTCACCAGACACCGAGCAGACCAGAGGGAGTGGTCAATGTCTTCCCCCAGCCTTTGCAAAAGGGGCCCCAAGCTTTTGAGATCCAAGCACACTGCCACGCAGTTGACGGCTTCAAACCAAATGCGGGCCAGTCAACGCTTCGATGTGTGTGGCAAGACCGCCTGAGCAGGATGGAAATGTGAACATGTCCCCTTGATTGTGATGTGTGTCTCGCACGGGTTCATCACTCAGTCTATGCCAGCGGGTGCAATTCGTTTTGGGAGCCAAGTGGCCGTCCAGTATGAGGACTTTGCTCGTACCGCGGCAAGTCGCCAGCGGGTCCTTGAACTCTTTCCGTGGCCGCTTTGCAGCTGGAGCCGTCGTCTCCATGGCAGCTCGATGTATGGCTGTCACTACTGCGCTGACTACTCTCATGAATCATGTTCTATAGATCCACACATTTCTCAGGTGGAGTACTTTGATTCGTGAAACGATACTTGCTTCCAGCTCTCAAGCACTGCCCAGCGTGTCAGAGGTTCTGGGACGCAGCTGGGCTGCAAATTCATGAGAGCAAGAACGTTCAAGGAGGAGGGCATTCTGGAGGAATGTATGCGTGTTTCAGCAGCTTACTTGGATGGGCGGGTGGGTT